TCTTTTTGAGACAAGGTCTCCCTGTAGCCCCAGCTGTCCTGGAACTCACTATGTAGACCAGGCTGGCCTTGAACTCACAGAGATCTGCCTGCCTCTGCCTCCTGAGTATTGGAATTAAAGGCATGAGCCACCACGCCCGGTTCTCAAAAATTTTTTCATTAATTTGTACAGCTCTGAGATGAAGCTACTGCCTGAGATATTTTGTCACAGATACGCTGCTTTCTAGCAGAGGCACATATTAAGCTGTGTTTGCACAGGGAAGGTTGTCAGAAAGGCAAATCAATAGCTTCACTTCTTCTGCTGACAAAAAGGCCAATAAAGGCTCTCACAGTGCGAGAGGCTTTCCTCCCCACCCCAACTATCACAGCACTATGGGGTCTTCTGGTAAAAAGGGACTGCACAGAGCCCAAGGTACAGCTATTTTTCAGGTCCGAAGGCTGCTTACAAGCAGGCTCCCATATAGGAGCAGGGACTGGGCCTTCAGAAGAACTCTACTTGTCAGACTTTTCCTTCACAATGTTGTTGTGTACCATGGTCCTCAAAGTCCCATTAAGAGCCCCTGCCCCATGAGCCAAACTATTTAGAATACAGACCCTGGCCCACCATGGGCTTTAGGTGCTCCAAGGAAGGCCTTGGGGTGAGGTTTCCCAGAACCAAGAACAGTGACTCAGCTGGGTGGTCACAGAGGTATTCAAGATCAAAGTTCTTATGCAAAAGACAGAGCTTCAGAGGTTTGATGGACTTTTCCGAGTTACAAGGGAAGCATGGAGCCCAGCAGACGCTACATGGCAGGAAGCACCATGGTGTGGTGTGCAGCCAAGACTGGGAGCATTTCTCACTAGAGGTCATGATTATTCTGAAACTAAGACAAATCCTAGATTTCAAAAACATTCTAACTAATGGGAAGCTAAGAAAGGTAATATTTAAGCAAAATACATGACAGTTTCTTTTTCTTGGGTGAGGCCTTCTACACCTGTTAGTGAGGCTGTGGGCAGACATTACCCCCCAGTGACTGAGAGACTCTGATTTGTGGCACATCTCCCTTATCACACAATCCCTCAACTTTCTTTTAACATGTAAAGAGCATATCTCTTGCTGGGCATGGCAGCACAGAAGCGGGCAGATCTCTGTGAGTCTGAGGCCAGCCTGGTCTGGTCGACATACCAAGTTTCAGATCAGCAAGGGCTACACAGTGAGACCCCATCTAAATCAAAACCAAACCAAAGACACACACACACACACACACACACACACACACACACACACACAAACACACACACACCCCAAACGTACCTCCTCCCTGCATCATTTTGTAGATTTTGCTCTCGATGTGGAGCTGAGGGTGTTTGGTTTTGACACATTCAAGCTTGATGGCAACTTCTTCTCCTGCAGCAATGTCCGTACCTTGGCAGAGAAAGAAAAACCACATACTGAGTGCTGGTGCCTACTACATAACCTACTGCTTACTGTAGAAAGGACAAGCACTACTTGATACCCCTTCTATCTTTCTAAGGCAGGAACAGTGCTGAGGATGAAGCAGGGCTTTGCACATGTTAGAACAACACTCTGGTCCTTAGAGCACTAAGTTTCTTGAGATGGATCAAGTGCTAGATGCTTTAGACTATGCGATGTGTTGCTGGCTGACAAATGTGGAAAGCTGTCCCTCCTTAAATGTGTAGGGAACTGATTTGGGGAGTCCATCTTCACTTCTGCCTATACCTACTAGTCAGATACCAGACCTTCTCAATGCACTCCCGCACCCAGGGCAAACCAAAGCAGAGTGCCAGGATGTCTCTGTGCTGCCTTGACAGGCCTTTCGGACTGTGCTTGAGCATCCCTGAAGAGGAGGGTCAAACCAAGACCTCGGGCCAGACAGGCCTGACATCCAGCGCACACCTCTCAACAGTCTCTCTCCAGTTCTCAAGTAGGCTCCATGAGCCATCGCCAAATTTCCACAGGCAGCAAAGATCCTCAACCAAACAAAGGGATAACCCTCTCCCTTCTTGGGAACATGAGACCAAAAGAACGAACTCTCCGAGCCTCAGCCAGTTCCAGCTTTGCAATACAAATATGACACGCACCTTCTATTTGTGATGAACATCATGACTAGTGCCTAGGAGTTGGGGGGCAAAAATTAGAGTTTTATGTAGAAGTGTCCCTCTGTGCTTTACCCTAACCACCTTCCTCCAAGCTCTCACAGCTCCTGGCCAAGCTGCTAGGGGCTTCGCTCTGCCTCTCCATGGTATCCAGGAACTCTGGACGGAACAGCCTCCTGAAGCACACCTGGCCCTCCTTCCCTACAGGCTCTTCTAAGCAGAAAATACTTGCATACTTCCCAGGAGTGTGGCTACTTGAAAAAGAGTAACATGGCCGCCCACAGCCTGCTACAACCACACACAACCAGGGGCTGTGCTGGGCAGACCAGAGTTATGGACTGAGCAACCTAGCTAGCTCTTGGTGACTTAACTTCTCTTGTCAACTGAGATGGGAGGGGTCTACCGTAAGATTCACAGAGTTCAGGAAACAGGGGTTAGTAAGTCACTTGAATCTCAGGTAAAAGGAGCAGCAAGGCCCATAAGCATTAGGACAACCTGGACACTGACATCCACTGTCTAGTGACCACCTAAGAAACATAGTGTCAAGTCATTTTGGTCACTCAGATGGCTGTTCCCAGAACATCTGGGCCCAAGTCTAAATCTAAGAACTTTACTTACCATTCAACAAAAATTCTGTTGGGGTACTGGTAACAAGTCATGTAATACATCTTATTCTTCCAGCCTACAGTCAAGACAATCCATCCAATTACACAAGCAGTAACTGCACCTAGAACGTACTTGAGGATGAAAAAATGTCCTGGGTTCCTTTAAGGACCTGGACTCTGAGTTGAACCGGCCAGCTGGGCGGGATGGTGACTCACCTCGCTAGTTACATCAGTGATTCCTTGTACCCCAGAGCAGTACAGTTTCTGGGGATGGTACCACCACCCTTATACAGCGATACAGCAGCCTGGGGTAATTTCAATTAGCCCACTGGACCAGGATCCTCACAGGCCGAAGACACCTTTAGCTTCAGAACTCTTCTGTGGCGACTGTGCTCAGGCCTGACAGTCACCCCTGCAATTCTCTCAGCCTCGGGGACAAATGCCTCTGACAATACTAAAACACAGTGTAAAGTACATCTTTTCATGGAGGCAATGCCATGTACCATGTCAGGGAGCCTGCAGAACTTGTAAAAACAGCTGCAGAGGAGCAGCTGGACACAGGTGCTGCAAATGTGAGGCTAGCACAGGACCTCCTCGAGGGACTTCCTCACCTACTGAAAGACCAAGGAGAAGGTCTTCAAGTTCAGCCCATCCCATGAGTGCTGATGCCCAGCCACTGGTCTGCAGTCCTGCCCTCTAGTTCTGTCCCACTTTCCCTCCCGAGAACAATCCTGAGCTGCACTAAGCAGAACTAGTCTAGTCTAGTCCAGGCCTTACACTGTCCGTAGGAAGACAAATACAGGACGGGGAAGGACCTAGAAATTGAGAGCAACTTAGTACTGCTACAACAAGTAAAAATTTACAAAATTTACTAATCCTGGTCCTCTAGCATAGGTAAGTCTGAGAAATGTTACCAGAGGAATACCAGTGTCTACAGGATGCCACCATACTCAAGGGTCCAGATTCAGAACAAGCAAAATGGCTGCCCCTGGAAAAAATGCTGGAAGACAGGGCTCCCTTGCTAGGCACAGAGGCTGGACTGTGTGTTAGTTCAAGTAAAACAAAATTAGATCTTTGGTAGGCCCAAGTGGTTGGTGAACTATATGACCCTCACTCAGAGCATGATCCTGTTTAGAGACAGGAAGGGAACACTGAATGACCAGCCTGGATGCTGGTAATTCCCATTAAGAACTATCTTGTCAACAAGGAAATGGGGAACCACCTCGAAACAGCAAGGCAAAGGTCTTCTCACAGGCAGTGGTGGCGGGGTGGCATGGAACAGCACTGCTACTTTTCGGAAACTCTGGAACACAATTCCAAGGCTGAAGAAAGCCACGGCCTTAAGCACTGTAAGATGGTGGCTCTGAAAGCGCCAATGATGCCACCAAAGCACTTAGAGACTAAGCCTGAGTCCTGGCAGCCCCAACAATCTAGGCTCCACTACCCATTTCCAATATAACAGAGACAAATACTAGTTAAAAAACAAAACAAAACTAAAACCCACAAGATTAATTCAACGTGGTCACATTGGGGAGAGCAACAAAGAGGGACTGAGCTCAGCCCCACCTGCCCAGGCCATCAGTGGGGGACCGATAGAAGTTTTAGAGTCAGAGCGTTCAACTATAGATGTGCTGGGCCGTATTCACAGCTATCCTGGTATGTATGCCGGCCCCAGGATGGAACCTCCTGAAACTTTCAGCCTAGGGCAGGAGGTAGGCATAATTCAGCAGTCCTGGTCAAGCTGTGGACCCACCACGTTCCAGTCTGTCCTGTAAGGGAGGCAGATCAGCTGGCAGATCTGTGTGAACTCTCTTTCTGGAAACCAAGTTCCTTTTTGGATAGCGTTTCCTCCAACACAAGTACATTCAGTTCTTTTGAGGTCTGGCTCAGTGATAAAACACTGGCTGGGCAGGCCTGAGGACCAGGGTTTGGGTCGGCACCTATGTAAATGCTGGGCAGGTATGGCAGCCTACCTGTAATTCCAGCTTTCAGAAAGTAGAGACAAGATTTCTGGAGCAACCTGGCTAACTAGACTAGCCAAATTGGTGGGCTCTGGGTTCAAGTGAGAGCTGAGAGCCCAGCTACATTTTTTTTTTAAACTTATTTATGTGTATGAGTGCACCATGTTGTACAATGCTGCGGAGGTCAGAAGAGGGCTGTGGATTCCCCCGGAACTGGAGTTAAGGACGGTTCATAGCCACCATGTGGATGCTGGGAATTGAACCCGGGTCCTCTGCAAGAGCAGACAGTGCTCTTAAACACTGAGCCATCTCTCCAGCCCCCAACTACATTTTTTAAAGACATCATTTCTGTTGATTACAGTGAAAGAAGTCGCTGCTCTCTCAGCCCACCAGTGCACCAGAGCCCTTCAAGGTTGTCAGTGAAAAATCAAAGATGAAAAGATTGCTAAAGTTTAGCTCCCAAAGGATGCTTAAGCACATCATGGTATGACTGCACTGTTCATCAAGAGGTGGGCAGTGGAGGCTCTGAGAAACAGGAGTGATGGGTGAAGGGCAAATACACACAGTGGGCAAAAAACCTCCATTCTATCAACCGTGTCATGAGACCTTACTGTTTGCTTCTACAAGAAAAGGATGAAAAAGTAGATGCCAGGGACTGGAGAGATGGCTCAGGGGTTAAGAACACTAGCTGTTCTTGCAGGAGACCTGGGTTCGAATCTCAGCACCCACATGGCAGCTAACAATTGTCCATAACTCCAGTTCCAGGGGGATCCGACGGCCTCTTCTGTCCTCCGTGGGCATTGTACGACACGGGTACACTTACCCACATGCAGGCAATACACGCATACACATAAAATAAAAATAAAATATTAAAAAAAAAAAGATCTCAAAACGACACACCTTACCCTGCCTCTTCTGCACCTGGCACTTTGTAGGTGGGGCCCACACTGCCCAAGAGAACAATCTTCTACCTACTGCATAGTACTGGACAACATGAACTTCAGCTTGGCCTGCCGTACAAAGCTCTCCCTCGGATACCCTTGTCCCGCTGGGTTGGAAACACAGGGTGGACATCAAGAGTATGGGTTCTGTTTCAAAATATTAAGTGGCACAATGCCAGCAAAAGTCAAAGGATTTCTGTCCTTTGCCTGTTTCAATGCCTCAAAAAACATCAGCTCCAGAGCAAACTATGATGGGAAGGAGACAGGCCAAGAGCTGTCTTAAACCAGCACACATGATACCTGATCGGGGTCCCTCCCAGGTATTTGTGCAGTGCTGTCCTGTACATCTGGCTGGCTTAGACTGAAGACTGAGGTTGGACTGCCTAAAACCCAGGTTACCACGAATTAGCCCCATGATGCTGCTCCCCTCTGAAGGGGCAACTCTGGGGAAGATGTGAATGATGATCCGGCAGGGCACCATCCCTGAGGCCTTCTCCCGCGTGCAGGTACAGGCTACAAGGGAAGGCACGAGCACAGAAACACCAACATGAAACACCAACAGTTTCACATATTTGAAAGCCCAGAAAATCTCAGGTAAAAATTTAAAACCTCAAGTGCCAGGCTCAAACTAGGGCAAGCCCAATTGGAGGAATGGAGTGTTCATGAGGAAATACCAAAGTGGGGACAGGTAGGAATGGTTCCAACTACATTTGCACACAGACACCAAGATGGGAATCCAACTCCACTCATGCTCCACTGGCTTCCCAAACAAATAGCAGAAACCTGTAGTGCTGAATGAGTCACTCCATCCCATGGTCTTCAGTCTTCCTCTGGATCGGTCTCTCCAACCTACCTCATTCTAAAACACTCATTTCATGTTTCAGCGTGGAAGGACAGCAATGCAGGCTGAGAGCTAATGCAAACAGAGAAAGACAGTGCTTCATCCGATGCAAGAAGCATATCTTGAAGGACAGGTCAGCCAGGGGCGCCAGCCTTAGGGCCCTAGGGCTCAGCAATTGGGTCTTAGAATAGACACAGAAGAGTCAGAATGGAACTCCCTGGAAAGGACTCTCTCTGTTCAGTCCTTTAAGGCAGCCAGATATAGAGCACCACCACCCACATACCTGCAGAAGACTCCAGGCAGGATGTTGTACAGGCTGGTTTAAGGCAGTCTCTCAGCCCTCTGTCCTTCCCCTGATGGCCCAGTGGTCTGGAAGTGATGTTTTTTTGAGGCACTGGGAACTAGGTGGGGCCCAAGGGATGTGACTATGTAAATAGCTTCTCCTCAACAGCGCCTGTACTCTCCCAAAGAGTTTACATCTCTGAATAACATGTGACAACCATATCACAATTTGATTATTGGAACCAATCCTCAAAAAAAAAAAAAAAAAAAACCCTAGAAAAAACCTGAGGGCTAGTGAGATGGCTCAGCAGTTAAAAGCACTGGCTGCTCTTGCAGAAGACCTGGGTTCAGCTCCCGGCACCCACACGAAGGCTAACCATCATTTGTATCTCCAGTTTCAGGGAATCTGACGCCCTCTTCTGGTCTCTGCAGGTGTTGCATGATACAGGTGCACTTATACAGACACACACACACACACACACACACACACAGAGGGAATGTACTCATACACAGTTTTTTAAAAAGCACAAAATTGTTAGGATCTCAGAGAACAGGGGCTGGGGAGATGGCTCAGTAGGCAAGAACACTTACTGCACAAGCACGAGACCTGGGTTCAAATCCGCAACACCACATAAAAGCTGGGCATGGTCACACTCTCCTGTAACCCCAGTGCTGTGGGGAGGCAGAAACAAGAGGACCCCGGCCTTTGTGTAAGGCAGACAGTGACTGAGCAGCATGCCTGCTATGCTCCTCTGGCCTCTGCACATGAGTACCTGTTCACACACAGGTGTTCATACACCTCACATGCCCAAACACACACACAAAGATCTGAGAGAACAAAAAATTTCAAATACCTGCTTTGGGATGCTTTGTAAAGGGTGGCTAATGGATTGGCTTTTCAGTATAGCTCCTATATCCTGAGGTTAAACTTCTGCCAAAATCTATTGTTCTATAAATATACTGAACAGCTTCCATTTACCCAGCACTTTTGACTCCCAAACCCTGCCGAGAAGGCATCTGGCTATTTGTTTATAAATGTTTAAATAGCAAAACCCAAATGTCTTTAAAGCACATTTTACTCAGCAGTCCACTACGGCAAGTACAGGTTCAAAGGCATCAATGTGCCAGTGCTGGGGTTATCCTGTAGGTTAACCATGCACTATGAATAATTACAAGCTACCCAAATGGGCCAGTTCACCCCATACTCCACCCCTCAAGGTCCTAGGAAAGGTGGGAGTGGGAAGTTCTGGAACATGGGATAGCCTGAAAGGCAAGGCCTAGGGCACTGCCGACTTCTGACCCTTCATAACGGGTGTACCAGCCAAACAAACATAGAAGCTGGGCACCTAGCATGTTACCTCCAAACAGCAACACCACCATGGGCAAGCTGGAAGTTCTCAGGTTTAAGAGTTTTGGAATAATTTATTCACAAGTCCACTAAGAAATGCAGGAAAAAAAGTTTATTTTAAATTTCCCAACTAGCAAGTTTAAGCTCTTACTGCATGTAAGAGCTTACTGCACGCCTTTTCACTGTTAAGTTTGACATATATGGTTAACGCAGGACAGTCTAATCCTAAGTGTCTTTTCAAGTCTACCCTGAGAATTCTGATGGTCAAAAGTCACGAGAACTTTCACAGCACTTCCTCCAACAGTGACCTGTTTATTTCGAGGTGCCCAGTATTCAACATAAATGCTAGCTCAGTATATACAACCCTCAGGCTGAAGGGCCAGGCACTGACCTCCCTCAAAGGGAACCCTTTCAGTCTTTCAGTACTGGACTCCGGTGGCAGCCAAGACAGCACGGTCGGTCAGCTAGCTGGAGCTGCCACAGTAGAAAAGGGCAGGGGCAGGCAACACAGGAACTCTCAGAATTCAGCCTGTCACCTCCCTGTTTCTGACTGGGACACTGCCTGTCTGCACACTACATTACTACATTAGGGTTGTTTTCACACACACCCCCCAACTCAAAACAGCCCACCAGGACAGCCCGAAGGGGTCAGGGCCTGCGCCAGACCCTTGGCGGAGCAGAGCATGGCCTTTGTTTACTGCGGTGACCTTAGGTGGGGGAGGAAGCTGACGCCAGGCCCTGCCCCCTCTGGGCCCCACCCCCAGTCGGCTGCCCTCACCTCTCCGCTACC